ACAGTGATGTGTTGAGATCCCACACAGCTCCCTTCCGCAGGCAACCTTAGCAAGCTCAGCTATTAGTGATTTCAGCTCTTTAGTGATTATCAGCTCATTTGTGATTTCTGCTCTTTAGCTTGCTAAGTGCCTTTGGCAGACGCAGGGAGAGAGAGGAGAAGGCTGTGTGAGGTTCCACAGAGATGTCCTTTATTGATCTTCTGCAAAGGTCTCAGGGACAGCGTCTTCTGACAAACTGGGCAAAAGTAGCTCTTTATATAGGGTACAGGAGTTTTAGAAATTGTCCAATAGTAAGGGTCAAGGGAAAGTGACCTATACTCTTACAGAGAGATAAGCAAGGGTCCGAAGGCAGAAGAGGGGCTTCTAAGGTCCAGTCATCATGACTAGGCATTTCCTATCTTAGGCTGCTGACCGCCAGGGAGGCCTTGCAGGCCCTGTGCCTGCTACAATAGTATTCTCCAATTTAGTCCTTGCACTAAAAAAAACCCACCCATGTGACACTCCCTCTTCCCCTCCTGTCCAATTGGAGGCACAAAAGGCAAAGATCATGGGTTGATATAAGAACAATTTACTGGAAACAGCAATGAGATAAGAAAATGAACAGTAACAACAATTATGTTAATAACAAAAGTGTACAAAAGAAATTATTTACATGGAAAGCCCCCAGCAAGAAACAATACCAGACAGCTCTCCTGCCATGTTTTCTTGACCGGAAGAAACCCCCTCTCCTGGGAAGCGTCAGTCCCTTTCCCCTGCTTCTAGCAATGATGAGAAGTGGTATGGAATAACCTCCCTGGCTTAGCCATGCCACCTCATGGCTACTTCAAAAATTAACTCTATCCTGGCTGGAACCAGGACATTGTGAAATGCATCAGTGACCACATAAGTTTCAGAATTAATTTGCTAAACCAATTTGCTGTATTACAGATCTCTGCTGTTTGCAGGACTCTCTATTCCAGAAATTTATATTAGCTTATTGTGGTTCTTCTAATGCTATACATATGGTAAGAAAGAAGGAAATTTTTTTGCTATTTTTTCTCCAACAATATATATATACAGTTTAATCAAGGTAAATAGGAAGAAAAATGGTGAAGAAGATGGTTGCTGAAACTCATACAGGAAGTCAGTTGCATAGCTGTGAAACAAACCTAGACACAGTTCAGTGCATTTTACTGTCAGAAATGGAAACCTGGAAATAATGCTTTTAATATTTTGAGTTTAATAGAATAATATGTCAAAGGAGCTGTAATATTTAATAGAAAGCTGACATGTTTTAACCCCAGCCAGCAACCAAGCACTGCACAGCCAAACAAGGAATTCACTGTTTCCCATGGGCAGGCAGGTGTTCAGCCATCTCCTGGGGAGCAAGGCCCCCATCACATGCAACAGTGACTTGGGAAGACAAACTACATCCCTCCAAACATCCCCCTGTTCCTCCTCCTTCCCCCCACTTTATATACTGAGCATGATGTCATATGGTCTGGAATATCCCTTTGGTCAGTTGGGGTAACCTGTCCTGGCTGTGTCATCTCCCAACCTCCCATGCACCCCCAGCCTCCTTGCCATTGTGGCCTTATGAGTACCAGAAAAGGCCTTGGCTCTGTGCAAGCCAGACTTTCTGGGAAGAAAATTAATAACCCAGCCAAAACCACCACAAAAGCATATGATTTTGTTTATGAAAGTTGAACTGCAGCAGCTACCCTGCTATTAATTAATGCAGCCCTTGGAATATTAATGTGTTTTTACAGAGATACAAAGGTGTCTTAGAGGAGTGAAATTATTTTAGGTCTATCAGCTGCTGCGTGGAAAAAGAATTTGTCAGAAATGGCTCAATGCCAGAATTGCAGGTAGCTGAATGTCAGGAAACATTACTTTCCTTAGCCAAAATCTAGGTTTTAATTTTTTAAACAGTACTTTGAAAGCCTATATAAAGCTTTTCAGCAGTGGCAACAGTTTTGTATTGAGTTTAGCTAAACGTTTGAAATTTCATGTGAGCATTCAGCTAAAATCTAGACAGTGGTCTAAAATCTAACAATTTTAACATTTTCATATGGAACTGTTTGCATTTAAGGTAGACTTACTGATTGAATAAATGTTGTGTACTTTGTATTATTGCCCCTCACCTTACTGTAGTTGAATTAAGACATGTAGCCTTATCTTTAATAGTCAAATTCTGCACCATTTTACTGTATTTGCAGCTCTAATCTGCTATTTTGTATCAGATTTTTTATTTAAATCTGGAGTTACTTGGCAGTAGACTAATAGTCTTTGATAGATCTGGGGGGAAAAAAAAGGTGTTCAGGAGTACTACTGCTTGAAGCTGGTTTATAGGTGACCTTAAAAGTCACTGAAGCATTATAGGGAAAACCAATAAATGTTGTTCATGTAGGCTATTTAGGATATCCTTTTCCAGCAATGCTGATGGACTTGGACATGTTACCAAGTTTGGTCTGAAAGAACTCGGCTACCGTGACATAATACCTTATTTTTGAATGTTAAATTTGTAGTGCTGTGAAAGTATTTAATAAATAAATCGCAAAATACTACCTTATAAACTTTTTTATTTTAAAGGATGCTTTGAAGTAGGAAAACAACTGCTTCAGGCTTATGCTATTTAAACAGGTCCTAATTGTTTAAAAATAAATTTTAGAGTTAAAATAGCATGATCTGCATAAGAAGAAAAATTAGTTTAAGCAAGCGCAAAGCCTATTTGTTTATGTAAATTTTGTGAAACAACAAATTTTATGACTTTGTTTTGCTGGTGGGTAGGGTCAGCACCAGACACTGACACCAACTTAAGGAATAGTGTAATTTACTATAATGCAAAACTGCAAAGAATTACAAAAGAATAAGCTAAGCAATGCACCTAATTATTACTACAGAAGATTGCCCATAGTGATTAAGAAAGTTACATCACCAGTTACCCTAATACCTTACCCCTTCATCCAGATATCCTTTAATCATCAGCTGGGGGAAGCTGTCACAGCAAAGGACTGGAGAACCACTCCCAGTAACTGGGAAATTCTGTGGTGCATCCACGTGGCAGGCAAAGAGGCTTCTGACTTTGCTGTGAGAGTAGCCCAGCTTTTATAATATACAAGCTACCATTACTTCTAATGTGGGAACACCTGGTTTTATTCTCCTGTTGGGTTTCTCCCAAAGCCTGGCCAGGGCTCAAGGAGGAACCAAGGGAGTTGTCTTTGATCCTACACCCCAGACAAGGCCAGATGTGGCCTTGTCCAGTTTCTAATACAGAAAGGTAAATAGATGTTTTGCCAAAGAGTGGATACATATATCATATTGCTAATAATACTTCATTAATGAGTGGATACATATACATTTGGTTGGAAGGTTCATCTAGAGGTCAACTTTAGTTCAGGGCCTGTTGTTTGGGCCTTAGTACTTCAGATTTAAACATCTGTAAATTATTTTAGTTGACTGGAGAGTTGCTCATGCTTTCTGGTTAGACTTTATGCTAGTAAGATATGTTTTGCCCCCTATTTAACTATGTCAAAGTGCAAGATGTGTAAATTAAGGAAGGTGAAAACTAAAACTAATGTTTTATCAGGAAGGAATATTCCCTTTTAAAAATTGTTTATGTGTGTTTTCTTCACAAGGTGGGTCCAGGAGGTATATACAAAATACTAAGAATTTTTTACATTAATTGTTTGACTGTGCTTTTATTGTTATCAAATTTCTCATTCTCAAATTCACATTATATTTTGAATTTATGTGAACTAATAGGTTTTTTTTAATCAATTTTTTTAAAATTTGATAAAGCCTAAATAATGTAATGTGTAGTATGCCTGTTGTCTCTTTTCCCTTTGCCCTTTCTTTGGAGAATTAAAAAAAAGCCCTCATAATTCAGTTAAGCCACTGTGTGAAAATCTGATATTTCAAAGTAATTTCATACCATTGCTGTGTTGGTAAGCTTAAAGTATTTGGATAGGGGTTTTTTTGGGAACATTTGGTACAGTCTTTTAACCACAGGTCCAATAGTGTCCCAATGAACCAGCAGAAGCAGGCATGGGGCAGTTGGTGGCTTATTTCTGTTTCCCTCTGTATTTACTGTGTTTTAAAAAAGAAAAAAAAAGGGGGGGGAACAAGTTAAAAATTGGGCCCATCTCATGTGAATATCTAATTTGATTTCTGTACCTATGGAATGGACTAAAACTTATATTTGGCGGTAGAGCACCTTCTTCCCTGTTTCTTTACAACTGCTACTAAAAAAGATGGTTATAACAGAGACAAAAATTTATTTCAGAAAACAGTAAATTAGCGGGTTTTATAAGATGTAAGCTTGTTAAGAAGACAGGTATTTTCTTGTTCTAGGAGAGAACCACTTGCATTGAGCATTGAATGCTGAATACTCAACTGGTTTTAAGTCATTCATCTATTTATATTGACATTACTTATTTGCCTACTGATTGCTCTGGATTAAGCTCTTGATCTAGTTGTTTTACTGGTGTCTAAAATAAGCTGCAGTGTGCAATGTCACATGTGCATGTCTAATACTGCTGGGAAAAGTGAATGCTGTAATGCGTAAAATATCTAAAAAATATCCTTATATGTGTTTTGACAGATTGGCAAAATGAGGTATGTCAGTGTTCGTGACTTTAAAGGAAAAGTCTTAATTGATATTAGGGAATATTGGATGGATCAAGAAGGTGAAATGAAGCCTGGCAGAAAAGGTATTGTTTTGCTTCCTGTTATTTTGTATTAAAACATTGTCTGCAGTTTGCTGGAGATCTTTGTGTATCAGATTTCTATACTTTGTTTCTACATGGTATTTTTAGAGTAATATTTTTACTTATTAATGATTTACATTTTTAACATATAATTAGTTTTATCTGTCGACTGTAAACAAAAGCAAAGTGGTTTCATTGGCCTGAGTCTGTTTTCCTAAATGATTCCCCCATAATTTATGGAAAACAAGGCATCGAATACAAACAGATTTGGTATGGGAGTTATATACATAGCCATACATTTTCCCATTAACTTCACTTCTTGCTTTTATTGCAATTGGATTCCCATATTGTTTTTTGAGTGCTAAGGAGTGGTAATAGTCTCTCCAAAATGTTACTTATAGTTTGTTATTCACAGTGCTTTAAGAAATGTGAGGGGGAAAAAACCCAGAAATATGGTTCTTTAAAAGTGTGTAGAAGTTTAGTCCACAGAGGTATGGCTTTTAGAAGCCAACAGGAATACGGTTGATTTCCTTGTTTCTTTTGTACTGCCTTCTGTCAAGGCCAGCACTATATTTCTGTGTTTAGCCTAACACTTGTGAATGCATTTGTTATACTGCACTAATTTTCTTTGTAAGGAGATAAGGTCTAAAGTTTACCTGAAGTGTTCCAAGTGAGTAATTTCTTTGTAACCGAGGTGGTTGTTACACTTGAGGTATGTTAAGCATTATTAGTCGTGACATACACTGTGTATGAAACCAGCCTTGACAGTAATTATGGAAGATTCTGCACTACAATTTTTTTTTCCTAAGTATTTCTTTTTAATGCATTTCAGGTATTTCTTTAAATCCAGAACAGTGGAACCAGCTGAAGGAACAGATTTCTGATATTGATGATGCAGTGAGAAAACTGTAAATACAGAGCAATACAGAAACCTTTTATCATTTCAGTTGTTTTAAGTGGTCTTTTTACATTGGCATTTGTTTTCTAAAATAATGTTTTCCAAGCTATTGTATATTTATTTGGATTGCTAAATGATTTGTAAAATGAATACTTTATGTGCATTAAAAGTGTATTCTGAGTGAGGCTATTTGTGTATACATTGCTAAAAGGAAATGTGTTGCTTTTACCTCATAGTATAAAATAAAAAAAATCAAATAATATGTAAAGTGTAGATGTTTATGGCCTTTTGATTGAAGATGATGGTAAGGTTGCCTAATAGCTTTAATTATGGTTTTAGTTTAATTGACTATTAATGTGATATTTTTTCCTGAGATTTCCTTAAATGTCTCCATTTTAATGTTTTTTTCTTTTCTTTCATAATCTTTGGTATTGCCCTATCAGCTTTTAGTTTTAAGACTTGATACAAACAGTGAATACCTGGTAAAACACATTTTTGTAGATAATTTTAAATACTGTATTTGCTAATTGACTGTATTTTTTCAAATCTAAACAGTCCTGAGTATATAGACTATTTTGCATTACTTGCATGAAGTGTTATGCTAAACAATAACATTTGAAAACAAGCCACACACTGTTTCTTCCCATTTTTCTATAGCTTGATTGACTTAGAAAATACAATTAGCTTTTGTTCTTAGACCCTAGATTTTGAATGTGATCGTGACGGGACCTTTCACCTCCTGACACAGCAAAAGGCTTCTCTACTTTCCCCATGGCTAAGCTAGGCCAGAATGGTTTGTCTTGTGATGAATTATCTCAGCTGAAAACACCCCTAGTCAGCAATAAACATCCTTCCTTGAATGGTGGGAAAGGATAAGCCACAAGTAAGTGACTGACAGACAAGCACTTTTTACAACTATACAAGACCACTATGATTTTCATTAAATCAGAAATCTCTTATACATTCTCTGAGCGTGTAGAGAGTTCTCGACGTGGAGACGTTCACATTGAGATACTTCCCTGGGATTGAGAGTAATTAGGAGATTCTTTGCACACCACTGTCTCCGTCTCTCTGGGTGCC